CAGGATAAGTGTTATCCAACTTAGACCAAGCCAAGCCAAGCCAAGACAGTCCCTAAGCATAGTCCATGCCAAGACAGTCCTGTGTACCAAATGAGCCCTTATGGTTTTAAGTGATTTTATGGAGAAACACATTCCCAGAATCACTTAAAATTACCAAAAGTGATTATATATTTTTTTCCCCACCCCTACAGGCAAGGGCAATTACTATTCATGTTAATTTATTTTATATTTTATTTTTATACTTAAACGATTAATTTTGATAAGATTTTCACATTCTAAAATTGCGCCTCGTGTCATCTCTTCTAAATCCCTCTATAAAACTACACCCTCAACTCAGACCTCTCACACCATATCTTTTCTATCTTTTCATTTATCAAATTTTACAAAACACCTTCTACTCTCAAAGTCTAACCTGAGAAGGGTCTTGGAGAGGCAACAACGAGAAGATGAAGAAATTAGGCGCAGACGTGCTGAAGAAGATCGTGAGTTAGATGAAGAGGAGGATGAAGTTGTTTTAGCAGTGGGTATGCTCAATCAATCAAGGCAACACCACCATGGTCGTGTCCAGAACGTGGACAGACATAAACACTCTCGAGGTAAGAATGTATTGGAAGATTACTTATCCCAAATTTGTTGTATTCTATTTCTGATTTTTGAGGGAGATATAGAATGCATCCTCATTTGTTCCAAAAAAATCATGCATGATGTTTGCAATTATGACACATACTTTGTTCATAAGTACGATTCTATTGGTCCCACCCCTATAGGCAAGGGCAATTACTATTCACGTTAATTTATTTTATATTTTTTTTATACTTAAACGATTAATTTTGATAAGATTTTCACATTCTAAAATTGTGCCTCGTGTCATCTCTATCTTCTAAATCCCTCTATAAAACTACACCATCAACTCATACCTCTTACACCATATCTTTTCTATCTTTTCATTTATCAAATTTTACAAAACACCTTCTACTCTCAAAGTCTAACCTGAGAAGGGTCTTGGAGAGACAACAACGAGAAGATGAAGAAATCAGGCGCAGACGTGCTGAAGAAGATCGTGAGTTAGATGAAGAGGAGGATGAAGTTGTTTTAGCAGTGGGTATGCTCAATCAATCAAGGCAACACCACCATGGTCGTGTCCAGAACGTGGACAGACATAAACACTCTCGAGGTAAGAATGTATTGGAAGATTACTTATCCCAAATTTGTTGTATTCTATTTCTGATTTTTGAGGGAGATATAGAATGCATCCTCATTTGTTCCAAAAAAATCATGCATGATGTTTGTAATGATGACATATACTTTGTTCATAAGTACGATTCTATTGGGGTTTTGGGTCTTCTTCTGGAGTAAAAACTTACAGCTGCTTTTCAGATGCTTGCGTATGGGGTATCTGCAGACCATGTGGATGAGATTGCTAGGATGGGGAAATCAACTATCCTAGAGTGCTTGGTCAGATTCTGTGATGCAATAGAAACTCTCTACACGAGGGATTAACTTCGCAAAACTACGTATGGGGCATCTGCATACCAGATTAAATTATGTGCTTGCATTCCACGCGCCAATAGTAATTTTTTTTTTTAAAATTCTTGCGCTGACACTAGCAGCCCGAAAGCAAGGAAACTGGCCAAATCTCCCCTTGGGATTGCCCGGGCTAGTAGGTCCCATGCCTTGCCGGAACTGGATCTTGCGCGCTGGAGTCTCCTTTCGGGCCTAGGGGCCCTCTGCCTGGGCTAGCCCATGGCGGTGGAACTGCTCCAAGGACGCTCTTGTATATGCTAGAGTGATGCCAAACCTAATCACAACTGATAACGCAATTTCCACCGTCAGATCGCCTCTCTGGCCCACCCTGAAACCTGAAAGTGCCACGTAGCAACCTAGTCAGCTCAGTCAAATTAGTTTTTAAATCCGTTACTATTTAACAGCTAGCGCGGTCTCGATCACAGGGCGGTTACTCTGCAGGCCGCGCAGCTGATAACCAAAACCAAAACACAATTGCTTGCCAGCGCCACTAGACACAGTCATGGCCTCGATTTTCGTTCCAGAACCTTCACTCCTGCCTAATTCCACAGCTTCCGTTTCTTCTCCGGCTAATCGGCTGTCGTGCCTGCTGCTATGCCGTCCAGACCGACGCCTCTTCTCAATCTCCGTCACCACGTGTCGCTCTTTGGGGCTCCGGAGGTCCTTCAATGTCGCCGCCAGCGCCGCCTTGACGTCTAATTCCGTACCGGTATTTTCTTCTGATCCACTCCGTTCTCTGAATTTCATCTGAGTAATTTTGATTAGAATTTTTAATTGAAGGTGTTTGATCAAATCGAATTCAAACGGTTGAAATTTTGAAAATGTAGCTTAATTTGTGTCTTTGGCTAGAATTGGATCACTTGTTGTGATGAGCAGAATTGCGTCTGGTTTACCTGATAATGTGCAGGAAAAGAATGGAATTCATGTAGTTGGCGATTTCATGACGCCTAGAAAGGATTTGCGTGTGGTTAGGCCCACAACTACTGTAGATGAAGGTACTATTTGTTGTATGAGGTGAAGCTTATTAGTGCAGTTTTGTAAATTTTTCATTTTCTGATGGCATTAGCTTTTATGCCTACAGCTATAGAACTTCTTGTAGAAAACAGAATCACTGGTTTTCCAGTGATCGACGACGACTGGAAATTGGTGGGTCTTCACTTTTCATCTCCCTTCTTTCTCCAACACTTTGTGTTTCCATGTATTCTCTTTCAAATTTCAGTACCAGACTTTACAAGTGATTTCCAATTTGCGATGTTTGAACTTATATATCAAAGTGTTGTCTTACTTGTAAACCGAAAAAAAGAAGAAAAAAGTATTGTCTTACTTAAGGTACATTATGTCATTCTGATTGTAAGTGAGGATTAGGTATTCACATTGGAACTGTGAACGGACCAGGAAATTTTTTCTCGTGGAACATTGTTCTCCTCCCCTTGGTTGGTTCAGGATTTTGTTATGACCTCAAGGATCAAGAATTCACACACCTGCTTTGTTCGTTTGGAAACATATCTGCAATATGCTCAGCATAATAGTGTATGCATGCGGCCTGCATTCAAGCAAACACACATATGTCTATTTCGCAACCCCCATGGAATCTCCTGCGTTTTCTCATGTTAATGTTATAGAAACAAAAACATCTTTCTTTTTCTGAGAAGTTGTGACCATCCTCTTTGTTTAGTCAGTATCTGTTTCTTGATTTGAGCTTTTATGGTTGAGCAACTAATATACAGTGGTACTTTTTTGATGCAGGTCGGTCTTGTTTCAGATTATGACTTATTAGCATTGGACACCATATCAGGTAATTTAATATGTAAAATTATATCTTAGATTATTTTATTTTTTTTGGTTTATCAAATTTTGCTTTTTCATTCAAGTTATCTCTAATAGATTTCATGGTGTTTTCTCTCATTTTCATCTTCATTTGATTTATGATCATATCTATGTATCATTTACTTGATAGCTAGGCCACCACTTGAAGAAGGGTGATCTGAATCTTGTAAGATCAGTTTGTTTGACATGCATTATTTTGGCTGATATGCATGATGGTATATATTATTTTATTTTTTGTAAACATTTGACGTTATTTTACATCCAATTAAAGTAGATGAGGACGTTGAGGTGGATGAGGATATTCTTTCTGAGGTAGGGGGTAGCTTCGATTGATAATAAAATGAGGGAATTTATGATTTTCTGGTCATATACAGTATGAAGATACAAATGTACTCTGTGAAAGAATAAGGCGATTCAAAGAGGAGAATTGAACAGTAATGGATACCAAGAATGGCATTGGTGGAATTGATTAGGAAGGATATGTCCACAAGAGATTTAGTGAAGGATATAGCTCTATATAGGATTAATATTAAATGGAATTTGAAAATTCCTGTGTGAAACCTGGTAAGTATGTGATTGGAATCCATGTAACGTAACCCAAATATTTGGGGTTACAGCTAAGCTTAACATAAAGAAACATTAGCGCAAATCATGGTGTACTCACTTTGGCTAGCAGAGTATTTAGTTTTATCATTGAGAAAAAAGAGGTGTCAAAGTGTCGGGCAAGGATGTCATAGTAATTCACATCCCTTGCAAAAAGGTCAAAATGTTATTGTTTCCCTATCATTTGTTTTTAAGAAGAAAAAAAAAGGATAAACTACATAAAATGGGCTGTGTAGTTTGAGGAGTTTTATAAGTATGATTGTCTGGAATAGTTGAATATCTTTCACATCCTGTTTGGAACCTCTGCAGAATAAGGAATTCACTACTTCAGTTCAGTTGCAACTGAGTTATATAGGTATGCCCTTTGAATTCGAATTTTTTTGGTGGGGAAATATTCGGATTTCCATACAGGTTCCAGTCTGACCAAAGTAGATTGGATTTTCTTATGGTTCCATTCATCTGTTGTGACACTTTTTCTCATTCTAACGAGATCCCTGCATCCCCTTCTAGTTTCTCCACTGCTGCCCTCCCAGTTTTTTCATTATTCAAAGAGATCTCTGTCCTTCTCTCTCTCTCTCTCTCTCTCTCTCTCTCTCTCTCTCTGGCCTTCACGTCACACTAAAACCCCAAAATTTGAAAACCCATAACAGATACAAACATAATATTAATATCATATGAAGAAGAAAAAAATGCCTACAAAATCCAGGTTTTTAATAAGCTACAAGGATGCAAGGAGAGATTGGAGCAAGAGCATCAAATTTTTCGAAACGGGTCGAAAGATGGAACCAATTTAAGCAACATAATGAACAAAAAAAATATGTTGCACCTTAACAGCGTTCTTGAGCAAAATATCATCCTCATCAGGAATGCAAGGAGATAATGGAGCAAGAGCACCCACGGAGAGAGATTGTGTGTGTGAGAGTGAGAGAGAGAAAAAGAAGACATAGAGGTGGGAGGGGGAGGGAGATCAAGAAATATTTGTGGGGAGATAACGTTCACTAACAAATAATTTTTTGCAAGAACAAAAATAAGCAATGTAACCTTCAAAGCTTCACGATCATGACTAAAACAAACATGTATGGTACCAGAAAACCAAAAAGGAACTTTCTTTCGCTTAAAGTTAGGACCTTTTTCACTAAACAAACACGATCCTAGTATTAGTATAAACATCCCTCATTCTAGTTAGCAAAGGACTTAAATTCACTAACAGATAAATTTTTGGAAGAACAAAAATGAGCTAAATTGCGAAGCATACTTACCACCAGTACTAAGAAGCTCTTTCGAAAGAAGACTTTTTGAGTGATTTTGGGTTCAGTCCTCTCTGAAAAACTTTGTCTTTGAAAGGTCCGGCAAGGGCTCAGCTTGCCAGTCACCAGTCACCAGTCACACTCATTATAAACTTCTTCTTCTTTTTTGTTTTTGTTTTTGTTTTTGTTTTTAGTCAAGTTAACAAAAAGTCAAGGCATTGGATTTGGGTTTTATGCAAGCCCATGAAACTGGCCCAACTCAAAATGAAAAGCTTAAACCACAAGAAGCAATGTGGTTCTGCTCCTGTTATTGCCTGCAATGTGTCTTTGCCATTATTCTGACCAAAATAGATGGTTCTGATTGGAAGCAGAAAATACCTACTCATAACCACTCAACCAAGGCAATGAAAGCAGTCAAAGGGCAAGTTTTAGAAAGTCAAAAAAATCAAACTTTTAAGTCGATAATCAAAACAAATCAACAAATCAAATTCAAAACAGCAAAAGTAAGACCAAGTCTATCTGCCCCTCTCACTGTTATTATATAGAGTTTGATGAAGATTAGGTTTTGATGACAGGTTTGTCCCCTTGACCTCACAACTTCTTCTAGGCTCCAAAGACCATTCTTTGCAAAGACCCAAGAATTTTCATTGCATTTGTGAACATAAGACCACCAATTCTCTTGGGTTTCTTTACTTTCCTTTCTCTTGATCATCTCTCTGCCTCTCGCTTTGTTTCTTTTTTTTTTTTTTTTCCTTTGAAGGTTGAAAATTTAACTAAAAAGGAGTGTGAAATGTTGGATTATTACGAGCAGCTTGCTGCTAGTCCTTACAATGATTCTCTTAAGGTTCTTGAGGCTGATATTCAGCATGCCAATATGCTGTGAGTGCAACCCCCTTCCTATTTTTTCCTTTCCAATTTGCCTTTTTCTGTTTATATTGTATTTTGAAACTGGGTTTGAGAAACATGAAATAAAGTTATAGGCTTCCGAGTTTGTACTCTTAGTAATGTAATGTATTTAATGGTTTTTCTTCCATATTCTACATTTACTATTTTGAGGTTGAATCCTACTCTGCAATAGCGCTTGGGTTTCTATTTCCTTATTAATTTTGGTTTTGGTTTTGATGGATTGTTTCTGCAAAAAATAATTGGGGAAGAGAGAGAAAAAAGAATATAGTTATTTTGCATTTCAGTATTTTTTTTTTGTTCTGAAACTAATATCTATTTGGGTATGGACATAATCTGCATACAACGCCTTTTGTTCTCCCTGTCATCATTATGCTAAATGAATTCCAAAATTTGTTGTCATGTTGACCCCAATTCACAAGCTTTGACCTTTATTTGGATAATGAGCATGCTAGGAAGTTTGCAAGTCTTCTTTACATAATCTTGGATATATACTACTGGATTCCCCCAGTTATTTTATCATTACATTCTCTGCTGACTATACTAATGTTGGGGGTTTGCTGAATATTTGCAATCTTAAAAGTAGCCTGAGGTTCAGTCCATGGTTTTAGGAGTACGACGTCTGGTTCCTTGCTTACCTTGTTTTATGAATTTGTTGCTGACCCTTCGAATGTTTTGCTGAGTTAATAGAACTTTTTTTTGGTTGATGAAGTAAAGTGACTTTTGATGTTACTTGAATAAATATATGTTTGCAGGGCAGCTTCCATCCCCAGACGCAAGAGTGGTACGGTTCTTCAAATGAAATTGGTTTACAATCACTTGGCACCCATTTTCCTGTTTTTGCTTCAATGGATTGATTGCTCCTCTTCATGTTTACTTTCAAGTTACTTAAATCTTTTCCACATAATTGTATATAAGGTTGGTTTCTGCTTGCCGGTTCATTTGTTTCTAGAGCAAATTAGTAGTTTAATGTTTGTCCCCTCGTAAGAATGAAATCCAAGTTCTTGAATGTTTCTGTGTTTGCTTTCATATGTCTTCAGGTGCGCACAGATGGGAGGTCAAATATCTCTTCATGTGGAAGGAAAGCTACCATCAGCGAATTCTACAGTTTGTAAACCATATCTCTACTCTTTTTAGTAGTTTAATATCTGTTGAAGATCCTACTTGAACAATATTGATGCTTACTTAATAGCTTCCCTTCTTTAAATGGATCTCATTTTGCCTGCTGCTTTCCAATTTTCATAAAGAATTGCATTTGGGGTGTAGCCTTTCTGCTTTTAAACTTTAAATGTCATCAAACTTTGCGTAATGTTACATGCTGCGGCGTTTGTGAAATTCATCTTTATTCATGTCTTCCCAACCTAAAACTGCAGATGTTATATTACCATCCCTTCAGCGTCTCCATGGTGATTCATTGGAGATGGATATCACCCAAGAGGAAGCTCTAGAGATGGCTGTTAGGAAGAGATATGAGGATAAGATAAAGCTTTCAGATGTAGACTTGGAGAGAGAAAATGAGTGTGGCATCTGCTTGGAGCCTTGTACCAAAATGGTTTTGCCAAACTGTTGCCATGCCATGTGCATTAATTGCTACCGCGATTGGTATGAATAACCTAGTTCTTCCTTAATCCCCAAAAATAGTTGTTCTTCCTTTTTCTGCTTTAGTCTCATCCAGTATCACCATATGATTATGGGGCACATTATTTATAACAATTGTCACATATTTGCATCTTTATGTGTTATAGGAACACAAGATCGGAATCTTGCCCGTTCTGCCGGGGAAGTATAAAGAGAGTGAATTCAGGGGACTTGTGGGTTCTGACCTGCGGCAGTAATGTACATGTTTTGTGTGAGAGATAAAAATTATATATATCAGAAGAGTCACTTCTTTTGTCATGCAATTTTGATTTTGTGATGGAAATGCTGTCAGGCCATGCAACTCCCATGTTGCATTTAGTGAGGAGTTCTTTTACACAGAGATAACAAATTTTCTTTTTTAACCTTTGTTGGATGATTAAATCCCATGGCACCAAGAGTGCATCATTTCCTTTGTTGAATCTTATTCATTAGCTTTCGATGAGAAATAATTGGTGATTTCGTAGGTTCAATTCCTCCCAAACAATGAATATTTAGAAACAAGTACGATTTGGTGAATAGTTCAACATGTAAATTTTTCACAAGATGTTCTAAATTATGGAAGCCTGAGAAATGTTCTCAAGCAGTAGTAACTAACACCGATTATACCATCTGATTTGTTTTTCTTTTGCTTCATAACTACAATCTACTCAGTTGAGATCACAAGCAACATAGCAAAGTACTAAAACATTAAGCTGATCCAAAGGCAAGCAGTTCATCCGCGACGCAGTTTCATGTCCAACAAGTAACTGAAGCTAGGGTGAGTGGCCTTGCCATTGAGGAACATAACAGTAAGCACCTTGTACATGGCTTCAGTGAGATGAACTCCATCCCAGTTTAAGTACTGGGAAGGGCTTGGACAGGCACTAGCAGACGGTGTGCCACACACGGCAAACACCTCGAAGTTGTAGGGGTCACCTGTCCCACAGCAGGCCTTGAAGCTCTCCTTGAAACCATACTGGTTTGGATTCTTCATGACTGTGAAATAGGCATTCCAGTAATCAGCATAGGTGATGACAGCATGTCGAAACTGTGTCCCGAGTTGTTGCAACTTGGCTTGGAGGACAAGGTTATGGCCATAGGTTTGGTTGTTTGCGCTCTTCACACATCCTATACTGTCTCGGTCGTCTTCGGGAGCTAAGTTCATGGCCAATGGCAAGCACCCTGACATTGGCAGACCTTGGACAACAACATACTTTGCACCCTTCTTTAACAATGCCCTCAAATTAAAGGGAAGAAAAAACTTCTACACTTGTTTAACGCGCGTGTGAATGCTTCTTTAAATAGAACATAAGTAGATTTCATGACAGTAGTCGTTCACGCACGTGTGAATGATTTCTTGTCGTGAATGCATAATAGATTTGTTTTCAACTTCAACAATTGTAGACAATTCTTTCTATTATACCAATATTATACTTTATTATACAACACATGTCCCTTGTCAACAATACATACATTATACATAATAATATTCCACAATGACATACACCTAGGGTTCATCGTTTTTTTCACGCATCATACGACCCACACAAACATGTGGTTCAAGTAAATCTTCCATTTAAATACTACAAGGAATGATCTTATGTGCTTGTCTCCGTCCACATTTTGTTTGCATTGTATGTTACCTACAATAAGGGTTATTATGACCAATAAACGAATCTCAATCATTCATGGATTTGTATGGACCTTATTGTATATATATTTATATAAAATGACAATAATTTATGATCTGGTTGGTTCCACATATCTTTGCAATTTGCATTCCATTTTGGAAATAACTTGGATTCTAACAAGTATTATTGCTCTCTGAAATTCCCGACATATCAAAAAGAGAAAACCTTTAGTGGGATTGTTCATGCCACACGACAGTGTTGAGTAATATAATAATCCAATTAAATAAAAATAACACATGTTTAATTAGATTTACTCATAAATCAAGTACACGACGAACAACCCCACTGTCAGGGACGGATCGTCCCTATGACTAACCTGAGTTATAGCCTAGGCAATTATTATTTTTTTTCTAGTCTAAAATAGCAAACCAAGCACACTTGTGTTCACTCCCCCAAGTTCCAATCAACCCATGTAAATGGACCCCAACTGACAGATTTACTGTATTGACTTGGTGGAATTGTGTGTGAGAGACCTCCCTTTTTTAAGTCCACATCATGTTTCACCACACTTCCCAAATTTTATTAACATTTAACTCTTCACATAAATAAATAAATTAAAAAATGTAAAATAGCAAACCCAGCACACTTGAGTTCACTCCCCCAAGTTCCAATCAACCCATGTAAATGGACCCCAACTGACAGATTTACTGCATTGACTTGGTGGAGTTGTGTGTGAGAGACCTCCCTTTTTTAAGTCCACATCATGTTTCACCACACTTCCCAAATTTTATTAACATTTAACTCTTCACATAAATAAATAAATTTAAAAAAATAAAAATCTTAACATACAGAAATAATTAACATTAAAAACCACACTTACCCATTAAATTTTTGTTTAAATTAAAACCACACCCCATTCTTTAGCTTTAAAATTGTAATAATTTTGTTTTTAATATTGTAAATCCTAAATCCGTCCATCCCTTGTAATAAATTTTTGTTTAATAATTTGTACGCATTATTTTGAAATCCTAAATCCGTCCCTACCCAGTGAGGTGAAGTTTGTTCTGGGCATTAAAAGTTGCCCATAAGGCATTCAACAACAGTGGTTACATCTGTGCGTTTTGTACGTAGTTCCCAACTTTATGCGCGGCTCAGAAGAAACCCACAACAATCAGACAAAGAAGCTGTGCATCATTAAGAGCTGCCACTACATGCAAACATGTAAAAAGCACCACCGACCATCGCACATACACCTTTTCAAATTTGGCTGAGTTCTAAGAGCATTCACAGTGGGGGTGTATTTTCGGGGGTGTAAAGACACTTTTACATCCCCTTTACACCTCCGGGGGGTGTAAATACGTTTTTTGCTCCAATGAGAGGGTGTATTTTCAGGGGTGTAAAGCCACTTTTACATCCCCTTTACACCTCCGAGGGGTGTAAATACTTTTTTGCTCCAATGAGAGGGTGTATTTTCGGGGGTGTAAAGCCACTTTTCTCCATTTTCCCTCACCTTTTTGCAGCTGGGTCCCACCTGCAAGAGATTTTAAAAAAAATGTACAATTGCATCTAAATATACATCTCCAAGGTGGTGATGTAATTATACATTCATATACACCCCCCATTGCGGGTGATTCCGATCACAATGAGTGTATATTTAACATACACCCCCTACTGTGGATGCTCTAACTTCTAGGGGCCGTTTGGTTCATGGGAAAGGAGGCATAGGAATGAGAATTCAATTGCTTTCCCATGTTTGGTAAGTCCGGGAATGGGAAACGGATTCCAGGCACATGAGAAAGTATGGGGGAAAGTGATGCCCCCCTCTTAACTTGGGTTTTGCTTTCCCTCCACATGGGAAAGTTTGGGAAAATGTACCAACATTCAATGCACAATTTTCATGACTATTTTGTCCCTATGAACAATTTATAATTACAACGTATCATTAAATGCATTCTTTTTTTATTTGATTTAATATGGGTATAATTGGAAAATTATACAAATTTTGTTTTCCATTCCTACTCAAAACAAACATGGGAAAGGAAACAAAGTGAAATCTCCCGATTACTTTCCCAACATTACCAAACGTGGGAAAGGAATCTTTCATTCCCATTCCTTGGGAAATGACATGGGAATTGATTTCCCCTCAAATCCATTCCGTGAACCAAACGGGGCCTTAATTAAGCCAGGAGACAAGATCTATTGAAATCTTGAACAGATGAATGATTGACTATCGTTTTGGCCAATCAAAACCATGTTGACCTTTTTTCTAATAAATCCAAAATAAAAATTACATGTCAATTGATGCGTGCACGGTGCACATGTCTCTAACTGTGTTGTGTACTATAATTATTATTCATTAATGTTATTTTGATGATTTGAGGTTGAGGTCGTGTGTTTGTGTGGTCTGCAGAAAATAGAAAAAGAAAAAGAAAATAACAAGAGAAAGTCACATGTATGGAAAATGGAAAATGGAAAATGGGTTGTCTTTGTCTTTGACATTTTTTTATTATATTTATTTTGTATGGAAGATGTCACATAGCATACACACTACTAACTTAGTAATTAACGATGGATGCTTACGTTACGTGCCTCTGTGCCGCCCTGCATGAATGAATCATGAATGAGAGAGAAGGCTAGATGGGTTCTTAATTATTTACTTTATTTTAATTATCAGTCCACTTACGTTGAATTACTTTTAGTATAGTCAATATTTACATTAATGCGAATCCCCACACATCTTATAATATGTGTGAACCAACTTAACATTGAGATAAGATACGTGTTATAACATAAATGAATTGTACCACCGCGTGATTTTACACGATGAAAAGTTTTTTTCCCAGATAAGGACAGACGAGCCCCGAACATCACAAACTTCAAACAGCTGCTTCAATCAATGCTTCTTCATCCGTGATCAGTTGAAAATATGTTGTTTTGATTAAATCATGTTGACCTTTTTCTAATAAATCCAAAATAAAAATTACATGTCAATTGATGCGTGCACGGTGCACATGTCTCTAAGTGTATTGTGTACTATAATTATTATTCATTAATGTTATTTTGATGATTTGAGGTTTGAGGTCGTGTGTTTGTGTGGTCCGCAGAAAATAGAAAAAGAAAAAGAAAATAACAAGAGAAAGTCACATGTATGGAAAATGGAAAATGGAAAATGGGGTGTCTTTGTCTTTGACATTTTTTTATTATATTTATTTTGTTTGGAAGATGTCACATAGCATACACACTACTAACTTAGTAATTAACGATGGATGCTTACGTTACGTGCCTCTGTGCCGCCCTGCATGAATGAATCATGAATGAGAGAGAAGGCTAGATGGGTTCTTAATTATTTACTTTATTTTTATTATCAGTCCACTTACGTTGAATTACTTTTAGTATAGTCAATATTTACATTAATGCGAATCCCCACACATCTTATAATATGTGTGAACGAGCTTAAGATTGAGATAAGATACGTGTTATAACATAAATGAATTGTACCACCACGTGATTTTACACGATGAAAAGTTTTTTTCCCAGATAAGGACAGACGAGCCCCAAACATCACAAACTTCAAACAGCTGCTTCAATCAATGCTTCTTCATCCGTGATCAGTTGAAAATATGTTGTTTTGATTAAATCTTGGACCCTTGCAGCGATAAAATAGTAGAATCTGGAGGATCTTCGGGCAGATTTTACAAATCTTTTCTGTTTTGTTTTGTTCAACTCACAAGTTCTGGTTCGTATTTTGTTACTATTTACACTTGCACTCTATCACCACAAAAATACAGGGATCGCTTTCCATTCTGAATTTGAAGATATAAAACCATAGCATTACGAATTCACAATGGGAATGGAAAAAAAAAACATTTCCATTATTCAGAAAATGAACATAAATCATCATAACAGTTAACCCTGATACTAAAGTCTACCTATTCTTGGTACAAGCTTAATGTAAGATGTGGATCCGCTTGTGTGGGCATGGAAACGAGCAAAAAGCATACATCTTGTTATTTTCTTCATATTACTTTGGCTTCTTCCGCATTCCCATTCGTGATTTGGCATACCTGAGATTCTTGTTAAGCAAAACTTGTGACAGAGAAATCAACAAAAGTCAAGGGCAGAAAAACTTAGGAGATGAGCTAATTAAAGGATACTCCAATCTCATGCCTTCGCCCGTTGTCGACGAGTAGAGAATTGTGCCTTGCAGATGACTCAGCGCACCAGTTGAGCAGGCAGTATCCTTCAGATATGGCAAAGAATATAATTAGAATTGCAAAGCAGCTCTAGAGGCGTTCGGATCAGGAGATTGGAAATTATACTGATAACTAGAGGCTTCTCCTATATACTTGACACAATAAAATCAAAGAATTTACAAAGTGCAACAGGATAAGGATTACGGAATTTTACTTCCAATTTTCATATGCTATCTACAAATAGAACATTCCATATCCAATGTAAAACAAGGTTCAACCGTTCAAAATAAATGAGAACTATGTCAGTTTTCACAACAAGGTTCAACCCTGTTAAAATTAAACCAGAATTATATCAGTGTTATTTACATCTTATTAGGCTCCCTCTCAGAAAGGCCGTATTTTATGGTTATATTTAAGACGGATGATAGAACCTAACAGACATGGGTACCTGAAAATCAACAAATGCAACTGGAGCTCCATATGTGCTCTGCATCTTCAATTTTATGAACCCAGGGCACCTAATAAAAACAGTTAGAAAATGACATCACAGTATTGCGGACTACACATATGAATCTACAATAAATAAAGTATAGCTACTAACCTTGAAAATACTTGAATCAGCTCTTGCTCCGTACAAGTTGGCCCCAAGTTAGCCACGAAAATAGTTGGGCATGGAGTATTATTTTGTGGAAAATGTTGTGCTGCAGAATTATTCTGCCAATGTATAAAGGCCAATAACACTCAGATGTCCGTATAAAAAAAAAACACTTGCATGTCCATATAAAAAACAAAAACACTCAGATGACATTTCACATGCATATTATCTAACATTTAATTTAAATAAAAAGTGAGATTCCAGAAGAAAATATATGAATAGGAGAAAAATACAAATAGATCTGCAAAAGGCAAGCTTAGGAATCCATTATCTAACAAGAGTGCAAGTAGTGAAGAGATAAGATACCACGTTTCCGGCTATTGTCTCATGTACAGGTATGCCATTGAAGTTTCCATGACTGAAAAGTGAAGAGAAAAAATAAATGAGTACAAGGAAATCCGTAGATTTATTAAAGTGACTATTTCAAAAAGGAAAATACTATACTCTAACTTCATGGACCAGGGCGTCCCGAAACTGCTTTTACTAATCCCTTGGCCTTTCAGCTAGTAGTAATATATTTTAAAATAAAATATGTGCTGATTATTGAGCTACAAGTAGTCACTTCCATGTAAACAAAACAAAACGTGTGCTCAAGCAGTGCAGATGACCTTGGTGCAGATGGATAACCAATGATGTTGTAAGCAGAATTACCCATTCCAGGCATGTGAATGCTGCCAACACCTGCTAGTGCCCAAGCGTGCAAAACATGTGCAATGTGAGCTTTTAGAAGAATGTGTCCTCCATGTGACTAAGTAATAGTTTCTGATCTTGTAGACCAGTCAATCATCAAATAGATAT